ACTTTCGCTTTTTTATATTTAGGTCCAGATGGAATAATTATTCCGTGCACGTTAACCAAATTATCATCCAGTTTATATCGCGTGGAAGTTCGAACGCGACAAGTGGGAACGTACAGTATAATATTCAACGACGGACACAAGATGGTCAGTTCGCAGACGCTCCAAGCTTTCGACCCCAGCAAGGTTTCCGTCAAGGAAATAGCGGACGTGGTCTGTCATCGTCCGGGAACTATTTTAGGTAATTATTTTAACGTTTAAGCTCAATAGTAGGTCTAGCAAGTATTGATTTAGTAAGATGTAAGTTATTTCTGGAACAAAAAATACGAATATCACTTTATCTCTTCCTCGCAGTTGTTGCATCGAAGGAAGCTGGTCCTGGTAAGTTATCCGTCAACGTGCGCGCCGGTGGTGCGGATGTGGACAGCCTGGTGAGAGAAAGGGAAACCGGTGTCTATGAGATCATGTTCCACCCCACGCGAATCGCGCCTCATAGAGTTCACATAAAATACAACGATGTCCATATTCCCGGTATATTGCATCTTTATGTTTTTCTAACAAAATTATCGTCGTTGTGCTAAAGTTTATCAGCATGAAAACTTTCATTATAAACTGTCGGAGATTATCTTTACTCCTATTTATAAATCTCATATATGTTCTAATTTAGCTATATTTTCAGAGCTTGGTATCTTGACGATTTTCATCAAAGATACAGATACAAGTAACATTTTTTAAATTCCTTCGATGTAGATATAGATGCAAGATGCACTGAATTATTTTCCGAAGAAAGATACAGATACTATCTATCTGTATCTATAACTATATCTTAAAAAAAAAAAGATATCAAGCTCTGCTTACTTTTTAATACTTGACGTATTTTCGTTCGGATTAATAATATTAATTCGCAGGGAGTCCGTTGGATGTGACGGTACGTGGCCCTACGGGAGGACGGGAAGTGACGGCGACGGGATTAGGCCTGTATCAGTCGTGCGTTGGGAAAGTGACATCCTTCACGATCGAGACTCTCGGTCGTCCTGGCAAGGAGTTCGACGTCGTCATAAGCGGCCCGCAGGGTAACGCCGTACCCGTGCGTTGCTATCAGCATCGCGACGGCAATCTGCTTGCCGAGTTCACGACGAATAGCGTCGGTAAGATCAGAGAGGATTGTGACATATGGAATGTTTATGAGAGAAAGAGAAATTGAATTGTTGTTGAATGATCTCAGGCACATACAAAATTGACGTGCTGCACGGAGCGAAGCCGGTATTGAGCTCGCCGTTCTTGTGTCAAGCCTTCGACGCCGCTAAGGTGAAGCTTCAGGAACTAGGTCCCATGACGATTTCTGTTCACGACCACATTGCATTCAAACGTAAGTGATGGTTACAACGCGCGACCGATATAATAGTGAAGGGGATTAATCGTACGTAAATGGGCGTGGGGAAACATTTTTGGCAACTATAACGATTTCGCTGCGGCAACTTACGAATTAACAGTGTCGTCATTCTTCTCTTTATTTATATATTATTAACAAATTTAACATAAAACTTGACAAAATTACGAAGGCACCATCGATTTTACCATGAATTTTATTCAATTTTATTCAACACTTATCATTTTACAAGATAGTTAATGTAAATTTTGAAGCATGTATTCGTTATATTTCCCGAAAATACCTTTCGCGTATCGCATGCTACAATTCGTTTATCAATTTTCCTTTTCCTTAGCGTGCGAACAAGATCGTTTTCACGCATGAAGAAAGTATCGGCGTGACCCAAATTGGAGCGATACGATCGGAATCAAGCTATCGCAATACGGAGAAAAGAGTCGTGTTAACTGCTAAGTAATCGTCTTGATTGAAACGTGAACGTTATAATATCGTGCTTACTCGAGACGTAAGTGTATCCCGGCGCGCTTATGTAAATGTTGCCGTGCACGCATAGGCGGGAGAAAGTGGCAGGCGTTTTCTAGCGCGCCGCAACTATGCAGCTACGTTTCAAGGCCGCGTCTGGGATTTAATCGTAGCAGATAGCTCAAACAGACTACTTTCAAATAGCTTTGCGTTTCGCGTATAATGAACAGTCACGGTACACATCGCGCGCGGAGCGACACCGATTGAAGAGCGCGGCCGCTCGTTCGGCGACAACGAGCGGACAAGAATCGCGGACGAACGTTTACGCAATTTCGTTGGATGATTACAGTGATGAAAGCCGACGCTGGCACGGCCGACCTGGACGTGACGGCGACGAGCCCGTCGGGCCAGGAGATCCCGCTGCAGGTCACTCCGCTTAACGACGGCGCCGAGATGATTGAGTTCTCGCCCAGCGTGCCCGGCACCTACATGATCAACGTCACTTACGGTAATTACGTTTGGCGAGTTTAAATATTGAAAGAGAAATCTCTTTGTATTTCCTATATTTTATTCGTAATCGCTGGCGATAGGCGGATGCTCCGTGCCTGGAACTCCAGTGGTATGCACCGTCGACGCGGTCGGGCAGGCTCGCGCGAAAGGCGAGGGATTGCTGAGCGGTCATGTGGGCAAACCGGCACACTTTATCGTCACCGGCACGAGAAGTCCGCCGGCAGTGCAGGTATTTGCGTGCGACGTAGCGCGGAAGTTGCCTCGTCGAGTTACGCGTAGGTTGTACACGGGTGATTCTCTTCTAATCGAACCGCGCGCGTCGCAGGTGGACGGACCGGACAGTGTTTCCAAGGCGACCATCGAAGCTGGCGCTAATCCCGGCACATGGAACGTGTCTTACGTACCGAGCGAAGTCGGAGTGTTCGACGTGAGGGTCGTCTCTGCCGGGCAGCAACTGCCGGGATCTCCGTGGCATCCGAAGATCATTGACACGCGAAATCTTCGCGTTATCGGTGAATTGAAACGAACATTTAATCACCTCACGATATTTCTATTGAACTTACGCATTCGTGACCGATTGCAGGTGGCTGGTCCGCTGTGTGCGACGAGATCGGCCGCTTGAAGTTGCATCCGTCGAACAAGATCAGCTTCGACACCGCGGACGCCGGGCCCGGCGAGATCAACGGAATTGTCGGCGATCTTCCTCTCTCCTTCGAGATGACGTCTAGCAACAGGCTGAAGCTCGTACCGCCGCAGATGAGCAGCGGCGAACATCGCCTGGAGATACTGTTCAACGGTACACCGTTTCCCGGCGCGCCGAAGCTCGCACTCGTGCAGGATTTGGAGGTTTCTCGTCAATCGGAGATCAATTGAATTTTAAACGCGACATACTTTGCTGCAATTATTATTGTTAATTTTTTTTAGCCACCGGTGCAAGACACGAGCCGAGTGCTACTGAAGGGACGGGGATTAACGTCGGCCAAGTGCGGCGAGGAAGTCAGTTTTACCATAGATGGTTCTCAAGCCGGTAACGGAACCCCGAAAGTACAATTGTTTTCACCTACCAGCGAACTTAACGTCATGCTACAACATTTGGGTAAGAGAAAGAAAGATAAAGGAAGCTACAAACGGAAATAAAAAAGGCGACTCTAAAATGTTCGTTGAATGAAACAGGCGACAGCGTTTATCGGGCAAGCTATATACCGCTAACGCCGGATCCACTCTTGATGACCGTGTCGTGGAATGGAAGGCAATTGAAGGGCTGCCCGCTGCAAATCAACGTTACGAGCGCGGCCGACGCGTCCAGAGTGATCTGTTCCGGAGACGGATTGAAGCACGGTGTTGTCGGGCAAGAGATCAGAAGTTTCATCGATACCAGAAGAGCTGGACCGGGTAAAGAACCGTTTCGCGCTTATGACAAACATGTATTACTTCTGACATCTTTTTTTTTCTATCGAAGACCTATTTCGCAGGTGAGTTAACGGCGCATTGCGTCGGACCGCACAAAGTAGCATACTGCGAGCTGTACGACCACGGCGATGCCACGTTCACGTTGAACGTGAAGCCTCAGGAGGCGGGACGACACGCACTAACGATCAAATATGCTGGAGAACACGTTCCTGGTTCTCCGTTTACGTTACGCGTTTCCGGAGCCCCAGACGCTTCAAAGGTATCTCACTGAAATATTGCAGTTCGCTGACAAGAATCTTAGTATCTTCAAAGCATCGAAGTTTTCCCAAGTTAAAAAATTTAGTACTTGGTAAACTTGATATATTTCAGTGAATAAACTTTGTACAGAGATATTTATCGAAATTAAGTTTTAATGATATTAACTGACACGCCCGGAACACATTAGGTTCGCGTCTACGGGCCGGGAATCGAGCACGGCGTGCTGGCGACTTTCCAGTCGCGATTTATCTGCGACACGCGGGGCGCCGGCGCCGGTCAACTTACGGTGAGAGTACGCGGACCTAAGGGAGCGTTCAGGGTGGAGATGCAACGAGAGACTCAAAAAGACCGAATCATTCTCTGTCGGTACGATCCAACGGAACCCGGGGACTATAGAGTGGAGGTTCGCTGGGCAGGTGTCTTGGTGCCAGGTTCTCCGTTCCCCGTTAAAATCGTCGACACGCAAGATGAATTACTAATGCTCACACAGGTAAGAGCTGCGTACAATTCTTCTGAATTTATATACCAAAATTATGGAGAGAACTTTATTGTATGCACGATCATTTCAACAAGCTACATAATCATATGTAAAATCACATGTATATATTATTGAGTTATTTAAATGTTCGCATAATTACATCGCATTAATAATGTACAAGTGGTATTAAAATGGTTGCCGTGTATAAATGTATACAATTTCAGGGCGGAGATAATTATTCGACAGGCCATCATACTATCACATCGTGGCGTGGATCGCAAGCTATATTGTAGAAACGTCACGACTCTAACATTGTTATTGTATTTTGTATGGACTAATATATTCGATAATATATGGTAATTATTGTAACTTATGTGCAAACGTTTCCAATAAACTCAACATTCCGGTTAAGCATACATACTTATCTTCAACTTTTCAGGCTATACATTTGTATGTGAAAAAATATGTACAGTTTCTCATTTTTGAGATAATTTATATTCCATCTAGCTGAAGCATCACCGATTCTTTTTCTTTTCCAGTTTACTGAGGTCCCTAAAGACTTCCTTCTTCACCTGCTTTTGCTTCGTCATCTTCTTGGCCTCCTCTTCGGCGACTCTCGCCTGATACGCCGTTATCCTCTTCGTCATTGCCTCCTTCGTCTGTTTCTGCTTTTGCGCGTAATTCGTTCTGATCATCTTCATTATACGCGCGATTTTCTCTTCTTGTGGCTCGCGCACCACGGCGACTCTGCCTTGCTTGAACTTGGGCTTGCGCAAGTGCGGTATGGACTCGAGTTTAGGCTTGTCTCTGTACGGGAGATTCTTCTGTAACTTGCGTGGGATGAACAGCGGCTTGAATACCTTGACGTCTCGTACAACCGGCGTGTACATCGAGTCTTTGTTAGGTTCAGCGTGAAGGTTCCTTTCTCGTTTTAACTGGCCTGTCGTCTTCATGCCGCGCCATCGAGCCTTCTCCGTGGGTGGCAACAGCAGCGATGTCACCGGGTTGTAGAAACGCGGCACGTCGACCTTGTACCACGTCCTACAAAACACTATGTCGCTCAGCATTATTTTATCTTCAAACGTGGCGCGGAAGCAACCTTCCGGCTTGGAAACAGCCTTCTTGATCTGACCGCGAATACCCGAGACCGTCTTGATTCGTGCACCTTCAAACTTGGCGACCTCGAGCGCGCTGTTGAACATGTCCTTGATGAAGGCGGTCTTGCGGTAGATCTTCATCGGCACGCCGGTGAGCTTGAGCTTCTTCACCACCTGCGTGCTCTTGTCCAGCTCCACGATCGCACCAGTGGCCGCGATGCGGAAACCCGGCTCTCTACTCGCAACGTCCTGCACCGCCAGAACTCCGGTTCCCTGCGGAGTGATCGGGCCCCAAAAGTGGCCCACGCACGCCACGTGCTCCGGCGTGTACTTGAGCATCCGGTGACGCAAATTGTCCTCCAGTTTGGAGTAAATCGGCAGCGATTGAAATCTACGCCAGCCTATGGAGAATATAAGCGGGTCGCGACTCTTCAGGATTCTCGGGTACCATCGGTGTTTCTTGACCCGTGTCTGCACGTAGCCGATGTTCTCCTCACCGTGCAACAGACCGCCGATGATTATCGGATACGTCGGGTCGAAATGCGTTATCAGCTCGCACGGCACCGTCTCGATTTCCACGCGCACGTACATGCCAGGACGGAAGCCCTCCAATTGGACCCTGACATCGTCGTTCAGCCCTTCGAACTCCGACTTGTTAATACCCGCCTGTCTCTCCACTTCGGCCTTCAGTTCGTCGTAGTACGTTTTTGTCTCCGTGTTGTCATACTCCGCGTTGAATTGCTCTTTCAACCTCTTTTTCTTCTCCAAGAGCTTCTTCTTCTCCTCCACCTCGTCTGTCGACAACTCCGTGGGAGCCGCGTCCTCTGCTTTATGCTTCTCTCCGGTCTCCAGGTCCTCGAAGTCGCCGTATAGATCCTCGTCGTCCAACTTCAAAAGCTCCTCGGCATCCTCCGATTCCTTCCACTTGCCCGTCACGAAACGGTTGAGCAGCAACGCCTTGTTGTCCTCATCCAGCCAATCGCGCGCGCTCTCCGCCGTGAAGAAGACAGACTCCTCCTGATCCTGCAGTTCCCGCTCGTGTATCTTCTGCTTCTGCTGCTCTTGTACCACGCGGAATATTCCACCGATATCATCGCCGGGCTTCTCGTCTTCCTTGTCTTTCTCTTCCATCATGTCACTCTTGCCGAATACTCCGTAAACTGTCTTCAACCAATTCTTGCTGCTTTGCTGGCGATTCACAAAGGCTTCCCTCGCTTTCTCAGTTAAATTCCTCTTCCACTTGAATTCATCCGCGACTTCCTCCTCGCTCTCATCCATCTTGTCGTTTTCTTTATCTCCTTCTTGCTCTTCTTCTTCTTCGTCTTCTTGCGCGGACGCATTGTCTTCGAAATCGCTGATCCGATCCACATCGTCCATCTCTAATCCCACACGCGAGTCTTCGTCGCTGAGCTCGTCGAAGCTTTCGTCGTCGACGTCCCGCTTCACGTTTCTCTTTGTCGCCTCTAGAAAATTCAGTGCTTCCGAAATTCTATTTTTTATCATTTTGTCTGATTCTTTACTCAAGGAATGATACACTCCTGCATTTTCTTGAGGAATATCCTTCCTGTCATTCGTAAATTTTGATTCATCGAGATCTACGTCATCATTTTCGATAGCCGAATTAATCGAATCCCTCTTCCTTTTCCTTTGTACTTTGCCATCCTCGGTGCTTTTCCTCTTAACGCCCTTTCCATCAGATTTTTCCGAGGGCTCCTCGTCGCTCGATTCACTTTCATCGTCATTTTCATCCATTTTGTAGTCATTACCGTCATCACTGTCATCTTCGTCATCTTCTTCTTCATGTTTCATCAAACTATCATCCTTGTCCAAAGTATTTTCTGAGCCCGCTTCGTCTTTAAATACAACTTTTCGTCGAACTCTCCCATTCTCTGTCACCAACTCGCCCGTGTAAGGAGCCATACTTTCGTTCACGTCCTCCGACTTGATCGGCGCGGCGTCGCTGAACAATTTCAGCTCGCTGTGCCGCAGTTTCTGGTCCAGCGTCTCCTGCGTATCCATTAAAGCACCTGCCAAGCCCGTATCCTCTTCTTTGTAGGAATGACTGCCGCCCAACTCCACGTAAACGGCGTCTTTGTCATAAACTATGCCACCGACGCCGGAGAACGGCGCATAAATCAGCCGTTCCTTCTCCACCAGGGCTCGCTTCTTAATCTGCTCCGGAAGCGGACAAGGATCCGGCAGAAAGTTGACATCCTTGAGCTTCATATCTCCGCAGCCGGGTATATGAACGGACGTCTCCTTGTTCAGAGGTATTCCTCTGACGTAGCTGGAAAAGAAAATTCAGCCACTTAAAAGGCACGATTAAGACTTCGATACGTGAGAAATTTCAATTAAATTTAAAATACGCCTCAAGTGCATACGATTCGAAGGTAGCTCAAGATCAATTCAACTGTCTCGCGTGCATACCCGTACAAGCTGATGGTTCTGTCGACTTTTGGATTCCTCCTGACCAAATCCGGCGGCGTCAAATCCTCCAGTCTATCGGCGAGTAAGTAGGAATGCGTCGTGCGCCAAGTTAACGGCCTGAATTTCATCACCGATATGAAACGGGCCAGATTCTTTATCTCCGTGCGGAGGTACTCCTCGTGCAGCAATCCGGAGAGGTAGAACAACTTGGCGCCGGCGTACACCTCCGTCCAGAAGCGATGCTTCAACATCTTCTTCACCTTGCGCATCTGCCGGGCGTTCTTTATCAGGTCCAGGTGAGTGAGGACCCCCATGATCCTGGGCATACCGTGCACCTGGCATATATTGAGGAACTCGAACACCTCCATCTCGAATCCGAAGGAGGCGTCCACCAGCAGCAGCACCAGATCCGCCACCTTGGCGATGTCGATCATGCTGTTGACGTCGTTGTTGCATTCCATGAAGGTGATCCTCCGTTTCTTGCCCGACACGACGGTGACTGGGCCGAGCACGTTGGCCAACGGTTGCCTGACGTAGCTCTTGATCAAACATCGAATGACTAAAGACTTGCCCACTTTCGGCGGGCCCACCACTGCCACCAGGACCGGCGGTGGCTCCAGAGGCGTCCTGTCCACCAGCGGCACGTGCTGCTTCTTGGTCTCGATGTCCTGCTTCCGCCTGAACCTCCGCTCCGCCTTGATCGCGGAATGGAAGGTGAATGCCTTCGGATTCTTCTGCTTGTCCGACAGCTCCTGAACGTGCGCGTTCTTGGCCTTCTTCTTCTCCGCCTTACGGCCCGCATTGCGGTCCCTGTGGCCCTTGTGTTTCACTGCGCTTGTATCGTCCATCGCGGACGACATGCCGGCGCCTTTTTACTTTCTGCTGCGCTACCTCTCTCTAGGAATATCAATGAAAAAATAAAAGTACCGATTAGCCTGTGATGCACACGCATTGTCGTAATAATAACACACATATTAGTGTATACCACAACAGTTTCTAGCGTAAAATCACTGATACGTGTCTAGAATTTGTGTATTAAAATTACCAATTCATTCAGATGCAAACTTTCCTCGCGAAAAAGAAAGATTAATGAAATTTGAGATTATACCGATTATACGTATCGAACACGTGAGCGCACACCGGGTTTCGATCTTAGGTTATGTCACGCACACGTATGGATAGAGCACTGCGTTCAGCAACGCCACCCGAGTACCCACCGCTGGTCACCGCATTCATGCATGCAGCACGGAACACAACCAAAATTGGGCACTGCATTACCCGCTTGAAAAATGGGCGTAGCACGGATACGCACCAATTAAGTGGAGGCTCTATCGGCAGTGGTTGAAAATGGGTGTAGCGGAATAGTTCCAAAAACGAAAATGGGCGTAAGGCGCTGGAATCAGCCGAGCGAAAACGGTATCAAGTAAAACGCCGGCGTGGCCGCTCTCTGGTTTCTCTCTGCTGTAACTGTAACTTCGTTACAAGTAACGAGTTACTTCCCAAGTAACTCGTTACTTGTATTTTAAGGTAATGTAATTTAAGGGTGC